GCCATTACAGCCTGGAGTGTAGAGTGCTGTGGACAGCTCTATACAGATCAGGACAAGACTTGAACGATTATCGTCTGTATTTCTAAAGGAGTTTGTGGATATGGGGTACATACGTTTAACTAAGTATATATTGTTGGATCTAATGGCGCAAACGTTTGTTGAAACTAGGAAACGCTGTGATGTGCATTACTGCAGGAAAAAGGGGGGAGCCTGGTTTGCAAGCAGGAGACGGAAGAGTTAAATATAGGACGATGTTGAAGTAGCGCCACCTACTCAATTCCCCGACGCTAAACAGGATGTTTTCTCTTGCCAGTGGTAAAGTTCAAAACATGGAACGTGCAGTGGCAGGGAAATTAAACCTAACGAAACAAACGTAGTAGAAATTGTTTGAACAAACAACTGATTATGTAAATAAAAAAAAAAAAAAACTGCTAGATCGGGCATTAATGGGTAAAAATAATTCATTTTTTTTTAAATTTTCAATTATTTTATCTAAGCGTTTAAAAAATTATTTAAAAAATTATTTAGAAATTATTTGATAAAAAGTTGATTGTGACGTTATTTATATGCCAACTATCTTGTATTTTTTGCGAAGGTTAATTATTTTTTTGTACTTTTATCAAGTACATTGACGTCACGGAATACCTGCTTACAGATCAGATTCTCATCGACACGCGAATCTCTCAAGACTTTTTAGCAGACATTTTTATCCCCCGAAAGCTCATGCGCATGCTGTTGATACGTCACAAGACCTTTTATCCTGCGATGTACGTCATCAAAACATCCCGACATTTGTCGAAGTATGACGGAGGTATTTGCACTCATCTATATTTAATCTCCACGCGCTAAATGCCAATGGGATCAATCTGTTGCGATGATGACGTATGTATAAATCTGTTCGTAATCCGCTCTATAGAAAAACTCAATGGTTAAATATTTCTTTTAAAATATTCGTCGATATTTGGGTGGGAAAGGAAACCAGAACAACTAATCTTAAAATATTTGACAGATTAAGTTGTTCGATATCGCGAGTATTTCTTTAAGTAAGGGAAATGTACGTTCCCTAATAGCAAAAACTGACGATAGAAAAGTTTCCTTTTCAGACCTAAACGATCTATAGAGCATATGAAGTAGAGTTCACTTGTTTCTTGACAAAAAGATGACGGTGCTTTTATTATAAAACTGCTTCAATTTTTTTTAAAAAGTTGAGTAGCCTCTGTCAGTTGTCATTGTCAGGGCATGGAAGGATAGTGTATTTAAAAAAAAAGAGTAGATTTGCCGTTACTAACTACTCAGAACAGCAGAGGACCGAGACAGTTGGCGGAAAATTATGAAAAAAATCAACTGTGGTGCCACAACGCCTCGGATTAAGGGATGGTTGACTGCTTCAATCCTGCATTGGCGCAAACTCAACTTTTGAAGATATTTCTGGCTTATACAATAACAAAACGTATCGAACGGTCAGTCCTACCATTGACGCTGGTAAAAAAAAAACAAAAAAAACTCAACAGCTTTAAGCTACCTCATCACGTGACGTAAACCACTTCATCACGTGGCTTGTTCCCCACCTTCCCATACGACCACTTAAGCTGTTACCCTGTCATTAACACTGCACACCTTATGTCAGATAACCCTAACCTACACAGGTACTCACGCCAGCATCACTCCGTAAGACCCGGATAAGACACACCTGTCTTGCCGGAACTACAGCCGCCCCCTCAGGTGATAACTTCACGCCGGGTGTGCCAGTGACCAACGGGAGGCATCAGCACACAGGTATTTACCTGATCTCGGGTTCTGGCACCTGCCTCAATCAACTAAAACACTGTTTATCTTATTGCTACCTGTTGAACTTGTCACTTCTAGAAATGACCCTGAATTTTACAAGTATAAAACTTTATCTCTACACCCTCCTAATGTAATGAACTCGTTTATATATATATATATATATATATATATATATATATATATATATATATATATATATATATATATATATATATATATATATATATATATATATATATATATATACATATATTTCTTATTAGCCAGTTACTATACATTTGGCTAACACTACTAACACTAATGCAAGGGACGGAAAATGGCAACGTCCTGCTATATAAAATGGCATTGGAAACGGAAACCACACAAAAAAAAGTAGGCTTGTGACCAGTGCATCAAACATGCCATTACCTACCATAACTAGGGGACAAAGAAATGAGGACAAGGTCAAAACGTGACCTGTAGTATGACACAAGATGGATGGATCACCGTTATGGACAGGTGGAGAAATGAGCTGATGACTTGAGTTACCTGGATGTCTCTTGTCAGTCGGCTGTGTTACGTGGGTATTGTGGCGGCAAAAGTAACGGTAACAACGTACTCAGAAATGCAACTACCCCTATGATAACGCATCACTCAGATGGTGCATCTCTTTAGATAGATTTAGGAACCTCTGCATGACAGTTTGAGAATCCCGGAAATCTTGTAACATCCACCTGCGGCAGGTTCCAGTGAATGAATCACGTGATGCCCGTTATTCCTGGCAGACGGAGGTCAGCATGCCTGGGGCTCATTACCTCGACACTCCTGCGATAGGTGGGATAGGAAGGTGTACTAGGGCGGGGTAGACGGGGCTTCGGGAGTTAAAGTGATGTGTTTACAATAGGTCTAGCCTCGCTACTTCCTGCTCTAGAAGTTGAACAGAATTAAAGAAATATACACAGGTATATTGTCTGAAATGATGTAGGGTAAAAAAACAACCGCTATCTTTAAAAGCCGTTTGAGTTTGGGTCTAAAATCCCGGAGACATATTTTGAATATTGATGAGTCGTTTCGAAGAAAATATTAATTTCCGTTATATAGAAAAAAAAGTAGGTTACAATTATCAAACAAGGCGTTAAACGATGAAATTAAATTCTTACAAACTGTTGGATGTATTTTGTTAAAATGTTTAGTAAGTATACGTTTTTTTTTTTGGCTAATCACAACTATAAGACTTCAAATATCACCTCTAAGAAAAGAACCCAGAAATCATGCAAGTTAACACAAAATGGAGTGATAAGTTCAACGTTTAGAAGAAGCAAAAACTACACACCAATACTCTTCTGGGGCGTTTCCCGATCGTAAATCAGCACAAAAGTTACTTCTTGTAAAAAAAAAATATCTTATTTTTATTTACTGTAAAATATCAACGTGAAGACAAATTGACCGCTGTATTCCCTCCTAAAAGCACACTTTTGTGTTCAGTTGAGTTAAAGGAGTTTACCGCATTTGGATGCATATGTGGATTTTGATATGGAGACATTGCCGCTCACAAATTTATCTAGCTTCCCCACCCCCCTCCCTCACCTCAAAATCTAGATCAACCTATAGTCGACCTTGAACCCTGACATAAATTCAGTCAACTCGTTCGACTACCAAATTTGATTTCGGCTCAATTTGAAACGAGAGCGAGATTGCAGGGATATCCCGACAGTACAAAATGACGTCTGGATTGAAAATGTCACGCCAATGTTTCTTCTAGTGTACACAGGGGCGGGGGCATCACGCGAGAATTGACGTGATTACAACCTCAATGGCGGATCCTTGTCTAGCCCTTACAGAGGAGAAACTCAGATTTAATTCAGGATTAAAATGATTCGGCTGTTTCTTTCGTTTTAGATTTATCTTTCACAGTGAACTATAAGTGAATGTTTTAACTTGCTAGAATTTTTGGAAGATGTTTTATTTTTGTAATAATGTTTTCATTTCTCTGAAGTATAGATGATATTTTATCCTGAAATTGAATGTCGGTGTCACATTATGTGTTGGATTTCACAAAATACTATCAATTTTATTTCTTGTTTCTTTTTAAAGTATTTTAGTTTTTAACTGTAAACACCGAAGGGTGTTTCCTATAACACAATTCAGTATTACATGTCAACATGTTATACGATATATGGCCCGTTGATTGCAGCCTGCTTTTCTTTCTGGGTCCCTAGTTTTTATGCACCCAAAAACATCTGCAAGGCAGCAGTTGTTTGATTTTTCATTTTTTTATCATATATGGGTTGTTGTCCCCATTTAATGAGCCTCGCCTTTCCAGGGGTTCGAACTCGGGACTTTTAGAGATAGCAAGCATACGCTCTCGTACCCGACCACATCGTCCCCTTAGATTGTTTTGCCTCACATTTGAAGCTTTAAACCAAATGTTTAAACTCATATGATCAAATATTTATATCGTCCAAAGCTTAAATGTAAAGCCCAAATTGTAATCCAAACACCTTGCTAATTGTTCTATACGAAGAAATAGTATAATAATAAATCAACTATAGAAATGTAGAAGTTAGTAGAATTCTAAAATTAGCAGAGAAAGTCGGTCAACTTAGATGAGCTGGATGCAGATGGGGGATGATGTTGATGAGGGTGGGAAGTTAATTAGCGGAGACACGCTAGATTAAAGGAAGCGAACTCTGAACGTCACAAATACACTGATAATGTGATAATTCGTGTCGGTTAATGACTGGTACGGGGTGTAGGTACACACGGAGTCGAAAATACCTGGGGGGGGGGGGGACAAAATGTTGGAGGGAGGCGATGGTGATGGTGGCGGGAGTTGTAAAAATGAGAAAATTTGATAAAAGTAGGATTAAAGGGAGTGAGGGAGGGGATGATGGGTGGAGGTGGTGGAGCATAGCGATGAGGGAAAGGTTGTTGTGTGGAGGCGGTGGAAATTGATTGTAGTTACGATGGAGGAGGTGGGGGGAGGTGTAGGAATGAGCGGAATTCACGGTAAACAACTGACGGAAAAATCCACGCTGTATAGGCTAAAAATAGCTCAAGGCTGCTGCGCGCGGATAGATAATTCGATTAGGCGGAAATAATTTTTTGTGGAGAGCGTTATGTCAAATACATAGAGCGGTGAGGTGTCAGATAGAAGGGGGGGGGGGGGGAGATTACATCACATTTGTTTTTACATGCAGGGGCTTTTAGAGCTGAAGATTTTAAACGCTTACCTTTTTCTTGCTCTGGGCGAGGCACTGTGGTGGGGTGACGGTGCCAAATATCGTGGGCTGGGGACGAAAAATTTAACACGTTAAAACAGATAAAATATCGTGGGCTGTGGACGAATAATTTAACACATTAAAAACAGATAAAATATCGTGGGCTGTGGACGAATAATTTAACACATTAAAAACAGATAAAATATCGTGGGCTGTGGACGAATAATTTAACACGTTAAAACAGATAAAATATCGTGGGCTGGGGACGAATAATTTAACACGTTAAAACAGATAAAATATCGTGGGCTGTGGACGAATAATTTAACACATTAAAAACAGATAAAATATCGTGGGCTGTGGACGAATAATTTAACACGTTAAAACAGATAAAATATCGTGGGCTGGGGACGAAAAATTTAACACATTAAAAACAGATGATTACATAAAATGTTGTGGTTTGCAGACGAATAATTAAATACATTAAAAGCTGTCAATTACATAAAATACCGAGGGCTGTAGACGTATATATTAACACATTAAAAACAGAAGATAAAAAAAAATATTGTGGGCTATAGATTAATAATTAAATACATTAAAAACTACCGATTAAATACAATATAGTGGGCTGTGGACGTATAATTTAAAACATTACACATTCATTATAAAACAAAATATAACAGCTGTGTAGAGTAATTAAACGCATTCAGTGTATGAAGTATTAATGAGGGCAGCGCAATTAAAACTGAATAATTAAAATTTGGCGTTGGCGTTTTCAAAGAAAATAAATATTTTAAATTTAATTATAATTTTGGAACAAAAACCTTTGATAAAATATTAAGGCCATGCTAGGTCAGAAACTCGATTTGAAAATACAATTCAGTATGACTTTTAATGATAAATATTTAACGTATATATATATATATATATATATATATATATATATATATATATATATATATATATATATATATATATATATATATATATATGTACTATAACAGAAATAGACATATTCCAAAGTTAAAATATTCTTGTTAACATAAGACATCGTTCTCGATAATGTTTTAAATTCAAGCTTCAAAACCTAGATTGCTAGATTTAGCCCATGTTCTACCTGTTACGTGATAAGAGCACATCAAAAAACAATCTAACTGTAAACACAACAGCAACGAGTTACGGAAATTTACTAAACTTTGTACAAGCTACACAAGGGCACTAACTCTTGGCATATACGAGTTCATACATTATGAGCAATAACCCACACTGTTTAACCCCATGGTGAGACCTTTAACCTCTCATTACACAACTCCTGATCTTTGACATTAAACAACGCGCATGTTAAAATAAAAGCTTATATAATCAGACACACCCAGAAAAACCCATTAAATCCTGACTGCTGTGAAACAGTTTTGAAGAAACATGAGAAAAAAAATTATCACTATAAAACTTTTTCAGTAGATTGTTATCAGAATGTTATCGGATTGTTATTAGATAGTTATCGATTAGCGCTCTCTGTAAAACTTGAAGTGGTTTGTACAGAAAAAACATGGTGCCAAAATTTGAGAACTAACGACTGCGAGCTACTCATACAGTCATAAAATGGTATTCGCGTGAATGATGTACTTGTTGGTCAGCTTGGTCAGTATTCACTAGGTCGATATGTCTCTTCAAAATGTCATTCACATAACTCTGTCATATGCCGCAACATTTAATTTGATCATTTCCATCGAAATTATCTTGATCATTTTGATAATAGTTAGGTATTTTTTCGATAATAAATTTGTCGTTTTCATAATAACTTAGTAAATTATTTGATTAAAACTTTAAAATTGTCTATTAAAATACTTTACAGTTTTGTCTAAGCATGAACTGAATCATTAACTTGGATATTTTCTTGATTATTTATTTGTTTATTGCTTTCCCTATCCAGTTATTCATTAGAAGCAGGAGGAAGGGTGTGGTATTTTTTTTTACTACACTACTACCTATGGCCTATCTGTACTTTATTTATTCGCTACTTTCACTATCGCATTCAAGTTAATTTTTCTACACCGCGACCTTTTACCAACTTACCGACGGCCTCTCTATGCATGAACGTAAAAGATTCATACGGTAAGTATACGCCTACATCAGCTACATCGGCCACAAAGTCCAGGTATAGTGCACACCACACACAAGGAAGGTTCAACTCCGAATCAAAGAACTCCCACTGTCCGGCTTCACTCACGGTAGACCCCCGGGCCAGGTCCAGGTGAGGAAAGGTCAAGAAAACAATACGTGCCAGTCCAAAACACGAGCAGACGACGAGGTACGTTGAGTTAAAACTTTGATAGACTCCATGTTTTAACGGTTCCAGAAAGGCGGGCTGGCAGACGGCATCGCGCGCGGGGTGGAAGAGAGCGCCCCGCCGCTCCCTCTCTCAACCTGACATGCAAGTGTTGATTTTTTTTTCTAGGAATTTGGTGCCCGGGGAGCAAGAGCACAAAGAATGAAAAAAAAGGAAAATTTTCCAGGAATAAAAAAAAAAAAGCTGCCGTGAAGTGAAGTGACAATGAACCAATCAAGTGGAAGAACAGAGGGGCGCGTTTTCAAAAGGTGTTAGCCAATGAAAATAACAGTTGCATTGGAGGCAGGAGGGGATTGGGGTGTCCCTGTCCCCCCCCCCCCCCCACTCTTTAGAATGTTTAAATTTTTTTTTTTTTTTTTTCAGCAGATTTCAAGACATTTGGAGCAACGCCAATGTGAAAGAGAAGCCATTTGTTTGGTGCATCTAAAGCTTTTCAATTAGGTGGGGTAAACTAAATATGTAAACAAGGGAGGGAAGTACGCTACAAAATTATCCTTCCAGTAAATAAAAAGTCAACAGCAAATGGGGGGAGGGAAGTACACAACAACAACATTCTGCATAACAAAAAAACGGAGGGAAATATTATCTAAATTTACCGTGACCAGTAAATCATAAAAATAATAACCATAAAATTCAATGTATTATATGCAAGGAAAGAAAACTTTTATACAGAATAATATGTCCATTAAATAAGCCGGAATGAAAACCTCCTATTAATCAATGTTGCTGCAATTACTTTGTCCGACGTTAACAGTGTTATTAAAAAAAACTTATCAGAATGTTTGTATTAGGGAAAATGGAAAAATATTGAGAACCCATAATTATAACGACCCCAAAAGTAACAGGATCTACCGACCCCATGACTATTGGGATCACCGGATCAGAAGTAACGGACACAGCGAAAGTAGTATGACGTCGAGTTCAAGCAATTATCTAATCTACAACATCGAGCGACTTCAAAATTTGTTCATGCATGTTAGAATATTTGCAAGAGCTCTTCACAGAGTAGCAAACATAACTGGGGTACGTGTAATGTGGCGGAGTGGGGAGGGAAGGAGTTAACATGTGTTTGGGGGGAGGGGGGGGATAGACATAAGAAATTAAGACTAGCGTTAATAACATGCCTGTCTAAATTGATTTTGTGTGCTTCCAGGATCGGCGCTATTGATAAAACGGACGTGCTGATGGGTGCAACAGACGCGGGTTGTCATATGTTAATTAGGTCTAATTGACACAAGGGTTGGCGATTGGGTCTAATTGACAAGAGGGTTGGCGATTGGGTCTAATTGACACGAGGGTTGGCGATTGGGTCTAATTTACACGAGGGTTGGCGATTGGGTCTAATTGACACGAGGGTTGGCGATTGGGTCTAATTGACACGAGGGTTGGCGATTGGGTCTAATTTACACGAGGGTTGGCGATTGGGTCTAATTGACACGAGGGTTGGCGATTGGGTCTAATTGACACGAGGGTTGGCGATTGGGTCTAATTTACACGAGGGTTGGCGATTGGGTCTAATTGACACGAGGGTTGGCGATTGGGTCTAATTGACACGAGGGTTGGCGATTGGGTCTAATTGACAAGTATGTTACTAATCTATTACTTTTTCTGAGCAGAGGATTTAAGGTTCTTTTTTTCCGTTTTACAAAAAAAAAAAAAAAAAAAAAAAAAAAAAAAATCAACGTGTAAAAAAAATAAAAAATTCTTTAATAAAGTTCTCTAGTGCCGTTTTACGGTACATTGCAATTTTCCTTAACCTAACCCTCGCAACATTAAAAAAAAATATCCCCGCTGTTAATCTGTTATTTTAACACATCTTACATCACAGTGAGGCGTTGATCTTGTCGTGAAAACAAAACAATCTATGCAACTTTTACCCGCGATGATAAAAAAAAATAATTCCTAACCCACTACACTAAAATAGTGATATTTTTTCAATCGCTGGCGTTGCTGAAGTAATTCGATATCTATCCCATCCCTAAAATGTGTTACAATCTTTCTTGAAGCAAACAAAAATGTATACAAAGTAAATGAATACAAAGAGGTCGTATGAGTTAAGACGCAGTTACCTCTCCTAGCTTTTCTATGAGTGAGCTCCCTTGTTTTAAAAAAAAAGCATCACTGGTTGCGTGATTCACGGGGAGAGAATCGATCGTTTTGACTTTGTATGGGATGTGCTAAGCTGTGGGCTACATGATACCACGATAAGGGGACGCAACGTCTTCTGGGAGGTAACAAAGGGAAATAATCGGGAAATTAAATAAAACTAGATCTATCAATACAAAATTATAAATTTACATATAAAGAGTAGATACTAAGACTATGGAGAATAAGTAAAATAATTGTTTTTTCTGTATCTTATGAAGTATTGACTTTACTTTTTTGATACCACTTAATTATATTCATAAAGCAAATTTAGATATGCGTTTAATTTTTCTATATATTTGAATATTTATTATTCTCCTTCTTCAACTTCATGGTATCAATTTGAAATGTTATCCAGGATGGTTAAATAACTGTACAATTTCATTTTCTTTAGAAATCTATACATTTAAAAGAAGGTTACCCCATCTTGTTGAACACCACAAAGTAATTATAACCAGTCGCCAAGTTGGGGAAACCCACTGTAGACTTGGGGAAACAGAAAACAAAGGGTTAATCTCTCAGCCAATCAGATAGGCGTGCCGGGGTGCGGGCTAGACTCCAGCAGAGCGTGCCGTAATGGTTTAATTGTTTATCGATCTGCTGGCCATTGATCTCGGCCGATCTATTGTTAGTAACAAAGCGCGGCTTTGTGTTAGCGTCTAGCTGAGCAGCACGTCGAAGGGAGCGAGGCTTAGAATGGGGTATGGGGAGAAGGGGTTGCTACGGTACATGGGGATCAATGAGTTAAAAATAAATAACAATGAAAATAACAAAAATATAATGCATCGTTTAAAAAATATGTATAGTTGTTTTGTTGTTGGTCTAATAAACTTAACATGAATTTGTATTTAAAATTGATTGCGATACCTCAGGCATCGAAGATTTTAATGCGATACTTCAGGCATCGAATATTTGTTTACTGACGAAAACGCATTGTTTTCATCTGCAATACGACCTTCACAAACAGGACTCATTGCGTGGTTGAAGTAAAACGGAGCGTGTAGTGTAGTCTCCTACTATAGTCATACTGAAATAGGGCTGTGGGTAGGTCTTCGTGATAAAATAGTGACAGATACTGCTACCATAATAGAATCTTCTCATAAAAGGGCGTTAGGTTACTGGTAGTTAACTAAAAACAAATACAGCTTGCTAATGTCAACACTAACGCGTTCTCTAGCCCAAATCCTAACCCAAGTCCAGTCGTAGTCCTAACCCTAGTTTCTAACCTTAAAAGTTAATCTGAGATTACCAACCACTTACAGTTTACTTTCAGTTGAGTCTATCGTCGTATATAGGTAAAACACATACTTCCAGTGCTAATATTAGCTACAAACTGTCATTGATTACTAATAGCCAGTGTATAGTACAAACTGTCATTGATTATTAATATCAATATACTAACTCGCAATATACTAACTATGCTACTTTTACAAATTGTTATTGAAACAAATATGTCCTAGGTTTTAAGTACTCTCACTAATTGTTGTTGTTATTAAAATTATGTCTCGTATCTACGGCTAATAACACAACACAAATCACAATATTATAAGTACCGCTATCTATATGATAAAATAAAGAAAATAATACCGCTGTTTACTTTATTATGCGACGAAATGGCCTAGCGTTAAGAAAACAAAGTCGGCTTGGCATAGTGCTGACCACAAAATCCCTTCATATGCCGAGGTCTCTAAAGTAGATAAACTCTACTTCGTCTGCCCCATTTGTCTTGGGCACGAACGGGAAATGATCATTTGCATTATTAAAATGTAATTGAAACATTTCGTTTTTTTAACGAAGTTAAGCAGGCAACTAATACAGACTGTACCGTGCGCTAGATAAGAAAGGGAGCTAACAAATATATGTCCCTTAATTTAACACTTCAGGCATACAATTAATTTCAATAAACAATTATGCTTATAATCACCTCGTGAACGGGAGTAACTATAACTATATGAACGTCCCTTAGTTTAACACTTAAGGCATACAATTAATTTCTATAAACAATTATGTTTATACTCACACTGTGAACAGGGAGGCAACTATAAGAACGCCTCTTAGTTTTACACTTCAGACACAAGATGAACTTCTGTAAACAGTTACGTTTTTTAGCACCGGGCATTTCCTGGTTGCTGCCGGTCAACATTTTTATAACGTGTCCTTACACAGAAATAATTTCACGGCAAGAAAAATAAATTCCTCTTACTGCGATACACCTTGATGGTTCAATGATTCGAGTGGTCACATATGCAGTGATTGGAAATATTTTTAACTTCACGTGGGGAAATAAAAAATCAAAACAAAAATCGACCAATCACAGCGCAGCTTATGAAGATGGGGGGAGGGGGGTGTCAGGTGGCGCAATCCACCCAAAACGCCACCATTGTGACCTAGATTGTAGGACTTGTTGCGACACACGATGCTGCCAGATTTAGGCCGGGGGGGAGGGGGGGGGGGGTGGATAGGCAGGGGTCCGGTCTTGTGCCACCCGGGGGTAACACAATAGAAATAATTGGCTGATTGTCAGGCTAATCAGGTGTGGACATTGATCCTGTAGACTCAGCGACTCAGACTCTGATAAGATTCAGTGGAGCGTATCGTTCGTCTGCCATCATGCTCATCCAAACAATCACACGTAATCAAATTTTTCTTCAAATATCAAACGTCATTTTAAACACTGTTGACACATTGAAAACTACACTGTAGCATGAATCGAGTTTTGAATGAACAATTAACGAAGTGTTTCAATCAGCATTCTTATAAATCTATTAAGAACTTTTAGAAAAAGAATTGAGGGGAGGAGTAGAAAGAGGCGGCTAGTATCCATCCATTGTGTCAATACAATAATTTACCAATATTCACTTTAAATTGGATCAAAATACTTAGGCTTGGTCAAGTGAATTCCAAATAGTGAATAAAAATATGCGTGATTTATTCTTTTCAATTTATTTATCTAGCACATTAAAAAAAAGGCGGTAGCAAAAATAAAAGTAAAAATAAAATTTCTCAGTTTACATAAACAAATTTCCTGTTGAGTTGCCAGCTCAACGCTTACAACTCAATATTTTCCACATGTTCTACAGAAGATTCCAACGTTGTCTTAACGTTATGCAACCCGTCGATCTCAAGGTGGGCACAATTTCGCCCTCATTGTACAGCTTTCAATGGTCGGTAAACGGGTCGTCAGAGATAGCCGTGTGTTGTGTCAGTACGTCTCTTTTGATGTGCGGAGTCGCGCGTCACACTACATGTGGGACTAGTTCCATTTCTATCACTACGTGTGGGACTGGTAATGTTCCGACCGTCCATTTCTATCACTAAATGTGGGACTGGTAATGTCCCGACCGTCCATTTCTATCACTAAATGTGGGACTGGTAGAGTACCGACCGTCCATTTCTATCACTAAATGTGGGACTGGTAGTGTAGCGACCGTCCATTTCTAGCACTAAATAATGTGGGGCTGGTAGTGTACCGACCGTCCATTTCTAGCACTAAATAATGTGGGGCTGGTAGTGTACCGACCGTCCATTTCTATCACTAAATGTGGGACTGGTAGTGTATCGACCGTCCATTTCTATCAGTAAACGTGTGTGAAAGAGGAGGGGGGGGGGGGACCGGTGAACTGACAAAATTTTCTTTCATCCTTATCTTTTTATACGCATATCACCGAACCACCAAAAAGGCAATTAGTATTTAAATTCTTTGAAGTAAATGCCAATTCTATTACAAGACTAAAATAGACTTAATCATAAAAAAACATGCTAGCCTGCTATGATCAATTAATTGAAAAACGTTACAATAGACGATATCCCCCCCCCCCCATATTATCCATAATTATTCTACAAACACACAATATCACTTGCTCGATTAATAATCGTGAAATTAGTTTTGTTAACTCATTAATTCTACACAACGTATTTATAAGAAACAGTATTTTGGCGACAATTTGTTGTGTACGGAAACTGCTTCAAGCCACCCCGTCTACACATTAAACAAAGTTTGGAAAATAGTTCTAGGCAACCCTGCTAGTATCATAATGACTTATCAAGTGCCAGCTACATCATTATTAGCACTTCGTAAATTGCGTTGGTAACAGAAGTGTCGCTTCTACTCTTCTGACACTACTATTAAACCGGTGCTTGACTGCCACTTCTATTTTACTGACGTAACCGTTTAACTGACCGCAATATTTGACGGAAAAAACTATCAGACAATACTCTTTGACCCTGTTGTTTCCCCACTCGCGTACGTAGTGAGCTCCAATCACACACTCCATAGCGTTTGAACTTGATGAGTAGCATCACAAAGTAAGACATAAGTAAAGAAGAAAATGACTAACACTAAGACTTCAATAAATTTAAGTACAAAATGACTTACCATAAGACATGAATACAGTAAAGTAGAAAATGACTTACCATAAGACATGAAATACAGTAAAGTAGAATATGACTTACCCTTGATTTGGGAGTTTGCTTGACACCAATGGCGGGTTGACTTCTGGTTGACTGAAAATAAGCATACAAAAAATACTGTAATATTTCATTACATGTTATTGTATAATTAATAGACATTACAACTATTAGAGTTTCTACATTTCATAAACATTATATATATATATATATATATATATATATATATATATATATATATATATATATATATTATATATATTATATATATATATATATATATATAAACAGTGAATAATAATGTTCACAATTTAGACAGAGTTTTTATTGAAATAGATTTACTAGACTTTTAATTTGAGTCTTTGTTTGATGTTTGGACATGTTAAATTCTTCGCGAGAGAGAGGGAAAGACAATGTAAAACAACAACAGACATTTAGGTCAACATTTAGGTGATTGGTAAACACTAGAGTCAACATTGGCACGTGTTGGTGTGTGTAGGCCGTGTTTATGTGTGTATGTATGAGGGATATTTGTATGTCTGTGGTGTCTGTGTGCGTGTGTTAGTGTGTAGGCTTTGAGTCTGTTTGTGTGTTTTATCAGTGGTATGTGTATGTCTGCGGTGTCTGAGTGTGTGTGTAGGTTATGAGTCTTTTTATGTGTGTATATCAATGGTATGTGTATGTCTCTGGTGTGTGTGTGTGTGTGTGTTTGTAGGCTATGCGTCTGTTAACGTGTATATGTGTATGCATGCGCTGTGTGTGTGTAGGCTATGAGTTTGTTTATGTGAGTAATCTCTGGCTCATCTCTGGTGCGTGTGTGTGGTTTGTGTGTATGTGTGTTGTGTTTATACGCACGTTTAGAGTGTGTATATTATTGGTGTGTGTATGTGTTGTATGTGTATGTGTGTTGGGCCTTATCCATCTGATGTATATAAAAGTGTGGTGGGTATAACTTATATGTATATTTGTTATGTGTGGTAGGTTTCACGACAGCTGGTTCACTGAACAAATCACCATTTTTGGCACAGGTAAGAAAAGTACTCTACTAAATAGTCCAACAGCTGTAGGAAACGGTGCTTGTAAATACATTGTTGTCTTGCTATCATATGTCAACCCGTTGAATTATACGTTGGAAGTTGTCTAGAGTTACATCAAACTAGAACTCCTAAGGGTTGTCTAGAGTTACATCAAACTAGAACTTTCCTAATTTGTACAAGGAGGGAGGGTAGGAGTCGAGTGTGGGAGGTAGGAGTCGAGTGTGGGGGGTAGGAGGCGAGTGGGGTGGGTGGGGTGGGGCGAGTGGTGGGGAGGTAGTAGTGTGGGGGTAGTAGGTGAGTGTGGGAGGTAGTAGGAGAGTGTGGGAGGTAGTAGGAGAGTGTGGGAGGTAGTAGGAGAGTGTGGGAGGTAGTAGGGAGAGTGTGGGAGGTAGTAGAGTGTGGAGGAGTGGTGGGAGGTAGTAGGAGAGTGTGGGATGGTAGTAGGAGAGTGTGGGAGGTAGTAGGAGAGTGTGGGAGGTAGTAGGAGAGTGTGGGAGGTAGTAGGAGAGTGTGGGAGGTAGTAGGAGAGTGTGGGAGGTAGTAGGAGAGTGTGGGAGGTAGGAGTGAGTGTGGGGGAGGTAGTAGGAGAGTGTGGGAGGTAGGAGTGAGTGTGGGGGTAGGAGCGAGTGTGGGGGGGGGGGGGTAGGAGAGTGTGGGGGGGAGGTAGGAGAGTGTGGGAGGTAGTAGGAGAGTGTGGGGGTAGAGGAGTGTGGGAGGTGTAGGTGGAGGTAGTAGGAGAGTGTGGGAGGTAGTAGGAGAGTGTGGGGGGGTAGTGGAGAGTGTGGGGGGTAGTAGGAGAGTGTGGGAGGTAGTAGGAGAGTGTGGGAGGTAGTAGGAGAGTGTGGGAGGTAGTAGGAGAGTGTGGGAGGTAGTAGGAGAGTGTGGGGGGGTAGTAGGAGAGTGTGGGGTAGGAGTGAGTGGGGAGGTAGTAGGAGAGTGTGGGAGGTAGTAGGAGAGTGTGGGAGGTAGTAGGAGAGTGTGGGAGGTAGTAGGAGAGTGTGGGAGGTAGTAGGAGAGTGTGGGAGGTAGTAGGAGAGTGTGGGAGGTAGGAGTGGAGAGTGGGGGGTAGGAGTCGAGTGTGGGGGGGGGTAGGAGGAGAGTGTGGGGGGTAGTAGGAGAGTGTGGGAGGTAGTAGGAGAGTGTGGGAGGTAGTAGGAGAGTGTGGGAGGTAGTAGGAGAGTGTGGGAGGTAGTAGGAGAGTGTGGGGGTAGGAGTGGAGTGTGGGAGGGTAGTAGGAGAGTGTAGGAGGTAGTAGGAGAGTGTGGGAGGTAGTAGGAGAGTGTGGGGGTAGGAGTGGAGTGTGGGGGGGTAGTAGGAGAGTGTGGGAGGTAGTAGGAGAGTGTGGGAGGTAGTAGGAGAGTGTGGGAGGTAGTAGGAGAGTGTGGGAGGTAGTAGGAGAGTGTGGGAGGTAGTAGGAGAGTGTGGGAGGGTAGTAGGAGAGTGTGGGGGGTAGTAGGAGAGTGTGGGAGGTAGTAGGAGAGTGTGGGAGGTAGTAGGAGAGTGTGGGGGGTAGTAGAGGTGGTGTGGGAGGTAGTAGGAGAGTGTGGGAGGTAGTAGGAGAGTGTGGGAGGGTAGTAGGAGAGTGTGGGAGGTAGTAGGAGAGTGTGGGGGTAGGAGAGTGTGGGAGGTAGTAGGAGAGTGTGGGAGGTAGTAGGAGAGTGTGGGGGGTAGGAGAGTGTGGGAGGTAGTAGGAGAGTGTGGGGGTAGGAGAGTGTGGGAGGTAGTAGGAGAGTGTGGGAGGTAGTAGGAGAGTGTGGGGGGTAGGAGAGAGTGTGGGAGGTAGTAGGAGAGTGTGGGAGGTAGTAGGAGAGTGTGGGGGTAGGAGAGTGTGGGAGGTAGTAGGAGAGTGTGGGGGGTAGGAGAGTGTGGGAGGTAGTAGGAGAGTGTGGGAGGTAGTAGGAGAGTGTGGGAGGTAGTAGGAGAGTGTGGGAGGTAGTAGGAGAGTGTGGGGGGGTAGGAGAGTGTGTAGTAGGAGAGTGTGGGAGGTAGTAGGAGAGTGTGGGGGTAGGAGAGTGTGGGAGGTAGTAGGAGAGTGTGGGGGGTAGGAGAGTGTGGGAGGGTAGTAGGAGAGTGTGGGAGGTAGTAGGAGAGTGTGGGGGGTAGGAGAGTGTGGGAGGTAGTAGGAGAGTGTGGGAGGTAGTAGGAGAGTGTGGGGGTAGGAGAGTGTGGGAGGTAGTAGGAGAGTGTGGGGGGGTAGGAGAGTGTGGGAGGTAGTAGGAGAGTGTGGGAGGTAGTAGGAGAGTGTGGGAGGTAGTAGGAGAGTGTGGGGGTAGGAGAGTGTGGGAGGTAGTAGGAGAGTGTGGGGTAGGAGAGTGTGGGAGGTAGTAGGGGAGTGTGGGAGGTAGTAGGAGAGTGTGGGGGTAGGAGAGTGTGGGAGGTAGTAGGAGAGTGTGGGAGGTAGTAGGAGAGTGTGGGAGGTAGTAGGAGAGTGTGGGGGTAGGAGAGTGTGGGAGGTAGTAGGAGAGTGTGGGAGGTAGTAGGGGAGTGTGGGAGGTAGTAGGAGAGTGGGTGGGGTAGGAGTCGAGTGTGGGGGGTAGGAGTCGAGTGTGGGGGTAGGAGTCGAGTGTGGGAGGTAGTAGGGGAGTGTGGGAGGTAGTAGGAGAGTGTGGGGGGGTAGGAGTCGAGTGTGGGGGGTAGGAGTCGAGTGTGGGGGTAGGAGTCGATGGGGGGGGGGGAAGTAGGGGAGTGTGGGAGGTAGGAGTGGAGTGTGGGGGTAGGAGTCGAGTGTGCGGGGTAGGAGGCGAGTGGGGGGGGGGGGGGGCGAGTTGGGGTGGGAGGCGAGTGTGGGAGGTGGGAGTCGAGTGTGGGAGGTAGGAGTCGAGTGTGGGGGGGGGGGGGGTAGGAGGAGAGTGTGGGAGGTAGTAGGAGAGTGTGGGAGGTAGCAGTCGTATGTAGGAGGTAGCAGTCGAGTGTGGGGGGTGAGAGTCGAATGTGGGGGGTAGAAGGCGAGTGTGGGAGGTAGGAGTCGAGTGTGGGAGGTAGGGGGCGAGTTTGGGAGGTAGGGGGCGAGTTTGGGAGGTAGTAGGGGAGTGTGGGAGGTAGGAGTGGAGTGTGGGGGTAGGAGTCGAGTGTGCGGGGTAGGAGGCGAGTGGGGGGGGGGTGGGGCGAGTTGGGGTGGGAGGCGAGTGTGGGAGGTGGGAGTCGAGTGTGGGAGGTAGGAGTCGAGTGTGGGGGGGGGGGTAGGAGGAGAGTTTGGGAGGTAGCAGTCGTATGTAGGAGGTAGCAGTCGAGTGTGGGGGGTGAGAGTCGAATGTGGGGGGTAGAAGGCGAGTGTGGGAGGTAGGAGTCGAGTGTGGGAGGTAGGGGGCGAGTTTGGGAGGTAGGGGGCGAGTTTGGGAGGAGGGGGACGAGTGGGGGTGGGGGTTGGAGGCGAGTGGGGGGGGGGGACGAGTGTGGGAGGTGGGGGCGAGTTTGGGAGGTGGGGTAAGAGTCGAGTGTGGGGGTGGGGGTGAGTGTGGGACGTAGGAGTCGAGTGTGAGAGGTAGTAGGAGAGTGTGGGAGGTAAGAGTCGAGTGTGGGGGGTAGGAGGCGAGTGTGGGAGGAGGGGGACGAGTGGGGGTGGGGGTGGGGGTTGGAGGCGAGTGGGGGGGGGGGCGGACGAATGTGTGAAGAGTAACCAGGGAGAAATTGATGAGATATTAATGTCGTGTTAGAGTAGTAAACCTTCTCCTATACCTAACACACAGCCTAACCCTTAACATTAAACCCCACACTGATTATCGCCAATCAATAAAATTAACGTACGGATATCAAAGGCTATGTTAAACCTCAACTTTTAAACAAAGTTTTTATTTTTACTTAAGTAAGAACTTTTATAATTTGATTTTCAAATAATTCCATCGTCAATTTCAATACAACTGATGACTTTTTTGCGCTCTTGGATTAAGGACAAGCCAAACCTGACTTCTTGTGGAGAATTAACTATTCATGTTGGGGAATACTGTTATTAAATAAAGTGTTACTAACCTAAATAGTGTAACATAAAAAAATACTACTTTTTAAATAATTAAAAATAAATGAATTCCCAATTTATTTTTTATTTATTATTTATTATGAAAT